TATAATTAGAAGCATTAGGTCATGATTTTCACGGTGCACTCAAAATCTGCGTATTTATTTAGAATTGACGACCACCCTTCTACTTGATTCGTGTGTTTGGTCATTCGAGGCTTCTTAGACGTGAGCTCCATTCTGGAAGGGTCGTATTGCTGAAGAAGATCTGCCGCCAACTGTGTCATGATGGTGTCATTCTCATTGTTGTGTCCTGAATCAACCCCATGGCTACATGTGGCTTGGTTGGGTGGCAATTTCTTTGCTGGATCTTCCTGGTTGTCTTTTGGGTATACATCATCATTATCATCCTTACCATTACCATTACTGGCATACCCCGAGGGTTCTTCGGGGTCACTGCAGCCAGAGGATGCCTCGATGTCTGCCTCATTGCCTGAGTCAATACAGCCAGAGTATGTCTCATTGACTGAGTCATTACAGCCAGAGGTTGCCTTGTTGTTCGAGTCACTGCACCAGCCAGAGGATTGCTCAAATTCTGCCTTATTGCCAGAGTCAACAAAATAATTCTGTTCTTCCGGTAGTTTGTTGTTGTAAGTGCCAGTGATCCAAGGTTCGGCGAGAGCAGAGATTTCATCAGAGTGTGATCCGTCAATGGGGCTTCCATATCTGAAACCTTCAGGATCCATAGTCGAAAGCAACAAGGGGTGCCAAAAAAGAGAGACGAAGCCACTAGTCCTGAATTTCCACTGTTCTTTGCTTAAGCCTGGCCCCGGCTGGCTTCCTTAGATAATTTCCCTACTCTAAAACCCCCTATATATAGCTAGCTAGCGAAGCCACAGCTGCGTGGGATTTCGATTTACCCCCTTCGTTTTTTATTTGTGAGCCTCTTTTGCAAGCTTCGCCGGTCAGACTCGATGGGTCTTGGTTGCTCCTTTTTACCAGTGTTCGGCTCTTTTGGTACCGGTGACCCTTTTTGCAGAGCGCCATCCCTAATAAGTACGTACTAGTACCGTAAAAGTACCGGTTACAGCTCAGTGCTTTTCGACGTTGCGTGCCCACAACGAACTTTCTTCGTGAGCGAAAGATCTCCAGAGCTTCAGCCGGCTGCAGTACATCGTAGACCCTACCGGTACCGGCGCTTTGCAAAGCAAAAAGGAATCTGAACTGGCCAAGACTCCTCATTTCATTCCATGGCATTGCTCACTCCTTTCCTCCTTGAGTTGGTTGCTCTCCTGGCTGTTCGGCTCCCCCTCTTGATTGCAAACGTGTTGGTTTAATCATCCGGGGCCATAATGAAATCCGTAATGAACTTGGTTCTATTGCATGCGAATTCCTTGATTCCTCTGGCGTTCAGTCCGAACCACCCCTTCCATCGGTCAGCCCTCCCGCTGGTCACCCTTTCCGCATCTCTATCGCCCTTGTGAAAGCTACCCATCTATGACCTATGACTCCATGGATTCCCCAAAGCCAAACCCTGTAATGGTCCTCAATTTATCGCCCCCGATTCCATGGAGCCCAGTCCTGAATTTGGACTCTTCTTTGCTTTTTAAAAAAGGCATGGCCCTTGCTGGCTGCCATTGATAATCCACCTATTAATACTCTTCTTTGCTTTCTAAAGGCCTGGCCCTCGCTAGCTTCCATCCATAGATAATCCGCCGATTAATACTCTAACCCCTTATATTATGACACAACTCTACCAGTGCTAGAGCTAGAACTAGCAAATTGACTCAAAGCCTCCAAGTTCTTGCAATCAAGCAAGCAAGCCAGTAACCAAGTCGAAGCGACGCCAAGAGACAATCAAGTCAGACTTCACAAAGAGCTCTGTCTTTTGCTGAAGCTCATGGCACTGGGATGGACCAAAATGGAACAATGTCTCTGCGAACAAGACTGACAAGTCGGTTGCGAGAAGCAAGTTTTAGTATTACTCTGACTTGCTTTACCATTGTTCGGGCACGAGTAATGCTACGCTACGGTACTTCGTGAGGTGCAAAGGGTACCAGTTAGTTGAAAACATTGGCACCGCTGGACCCCCAATAAGATCTACGCCAGAGGAGTCAACGTGGTGAAAAGGAGAAGAAGACATCTTCATCAAGCTAGCTAGTTAAGGCTTACTTGGAATAGCAGTAAAACAAAATGAGTTAGATCAGATTGGTATATTGTCCAGAAATCAAGCCTCCTCCACTGAAGGAGCATGGTCATTGAGACTAAAGTTTTCCTCGTTGGCATATCGTTTCTCTAGAAACCCTTTCATGCGCTCCTGCAACCTTGCTCTTGCTATTTCGGGGGTTGGGATGGAGTACAGCCGGTCCAGTCTTCCCAATGGACATTTGGCAGGAAGATGGAATCTAGATGTAAGTTCTGTTGGCAATACTGATTTTGACATCGACACCATCATCTTGAAGAGTGGAGGAGCATTAAAGAATTTCACTTGTTTCAGATTTCTTGGATATGAATGCACGCCCTTCCAAATGGATCGAAACGCAGCCAAGTCCAATCTTTTTTCTTTGACCAACTGGTACCCCTCACATTCACAGAGAACAGTAATACCAACCCTGAGTGCATCCAAATCACAATATGCCATGTGTGAGGCATAGAAAGCCCGGCGATTGTAGTACTGCATTCGGTTTGTATCTCTCCAGATGGAGCTATCTGTTTTTGTTAGATCCATAGCCATAATGTGCCCCCCAGTATGGAGATTGTAGTCAAGAGAGAGGAAATGAGCTTCTTTTGGCAAGTTTCTCAGTGCATCATCCAAGGTGTCCATTATTAGGTTGTCTCTCTTGTGCTCTTGAAGTCTGAATGCCCTCACAACAGCATCACCAACATTGCCTTTAGAAACAATGGCTATCTGAGCATACATAAAATCCGTCAAATTATCGAGATCTGGGATTTTTTCAATGGCAGTTTTGACTGCAACAGCCCACTGATGCTCTTCCTGTGTCAGCTCCATTCTGGACGGGTCATATTGCGCACATAGATCCGCAGCCAGTTGGTTCATCGTTGGATCATCATCATCGTCGTCATCATCATCATGGCTGCATGCGCCTTTCTTGGGTGTCTTGTTTGTTGGATTTTCCTGGTTGTCTTCTGGGTATTCATCGTCATCATCACTACCATTGCTGGCATCCCCCGAGGATTGTTTGGAGTCACTGCAGCTAGAGCATGACTCGATGTCTGCGTCATTGCCAGAGCCATTACAGCTGGAGTATGTGTCGTTGCCAGAGTCGTAACAGCCAGAGGTTGCCTCCTTGCTCGAGTCACTGCAGCCAGAGGATTGCTCATTTTCTGCCTCATTGCCCGAGTCAACACCAGAATTCTGTTCTGCAGGTGGCTTGTTGTTGTAAGTGTCAGGGATACCCGGAGGTTCGGTAAGAGCAGAGATTTCATCAGAGTCTGATCCCTCAGTGGGGCTTCCATATCTGAAACCTTCAGGATCCATTGTTAGTTGGAGGCAACAAGGGGTTCAAGGAGTGTAGCCACAACCGGGTGTGGGTTTTGGATTTGTGAGGCTCGAATCTCGACTTCCCCATTCGCCACTCCTGCCCGTTGGGTCATGGCTGCTCGTTTTTACCAATGTGCGGTGTTCGGCATTCGCACTTTTATTGCGGTACCAGTGAGACTTTTTGCGGAGCGCTAACCATAAGTATTGGTACCTGGACCGGGACCGGTGCACCGACACAGCTCTTTAGCAGAGGTGAACTTCGACATTGCCTTCCATGGCCAGCCACTTGAGAGAACTCGCCGCATGCGTGAGGATGAAGAAAAAATGCAAGATCTCAAGTCTCCAGCAGCCTACAGTACTGCCGTACGGTATGGCATACATGCAGTACTGGTAGCCAAGCCAAGCATAAGGAAGCTGAAAGCACAACAAAGCAAAAGAATCCAACCAAGAACAAAGGTCAGGGGGTGGAGGCTTTGTTGGCTACCGTACCGGTACTGGTATCTGAGCAAGGCAAGAATCTCAGCTCTGAGGCGAGCTGCTGCCCGCTTTACTGTACGGTAGTACTACTAATGGAAAGAGCGAAAACGAAGGATATATATATACACACAACTCTAGCTAGCTAGCTAGGTGTGCCAATGCCTTTTTATTGAATCCAAAGGAGAGCTTTGCTTCAAGACTGCTTGCTTTGACAAGAAAGCTACATGTCCGAGTAGTTAGAAAAGAAAAGGCATTACAGCGAGTTGCCATTAGTAACTTGACTTGGCTAAACGCGGCGTTTACAGCACTTGCCGTGGTTATTCTAGCTGACTACGGTACTATGTGCTAGATTTTCGTTTGGATCCGAGTGGGTGCGGGAGAAGCCTGAGTACCGGTATCCACGGCCCACGGTGCGCCGAATTAGCCGTTGCGAATGCCAAATCCATCCTCGCTGACACCACAATGACCTCCTCTCATTTCTCGCCCAAGACCGACCAGACTTCAAATCACCTCGTGAAGGCTGATCGGATACCCCTTCTTTTGGTGGCTCTTCTACAGATACTAGCTAGCTAGTAATGAAGAGATCCTTCTTGCAAGAACTGTATTCCAAGCTGTGGAAAGAACAGAACATGATGAATTGCAATAATGGCGACAGAGCCAAGATTGGCAACGGCAACCACAATAATAGGAAACCACGAAAACAACGAATGCATCGTATTGTGCGATCCTTGGTGATTCTGTTTGCATTTACAGCTTGCGTGGGCAATTATGTGTGGTTATCACGGCAGCATCATCATCATCAATCCAACAATAATGAAGATGTGATTGATATACCCAACCATGATAATAACAACAACAACAATAGCAATCGGACGATTGGTATGAAGAACATGGGAAGGAGGGAGAAAGCTGCCAAGGCGTTGGGAATCCGGGACCACAAGGCGCTGCTACAGAATCGAATACTCAGCCAAGAAGAAAAAAAGGGACAACTGAAATCATTACGACAGCATGGCCCTAAGGGGCATGTACCAAAGGCTACCTCATCCAATGTTGGCAGCAGCTTGAGTCCCCAGCCCAGCAAATTAGTTTCTCGTATCCAAGCTACCAAGGAGGGATCCGTTGCCCCAAAACAACAAGAGAAACCAAACAACAATCAGCAACAACAACAATCTCTGTCGCCAGCCGAAACGCAACATCTTGCAACTACCATTCATCAGAAGAATCAAACCCAACCAAAAGTAGTGTTTCAAGGTGGACCCGTCAAAGTTCCCAAGAAGAAGAAGAAACGCGCGGCTCCCTTGGCCCAGCCGAAAGTGGTCAAGGATGAATCCATCAAAACCATTCTTAAGTATGCACCGTCTCGGATACCGGGATATTTTACCAACCACAATGACACACGGATTCTCTTTGGACATGTCATGAGAGAATTTACACGACGCATCATGCCTACCAGAGACCCATACAATCCAACACAGAGTGGCACCATATTGGTGATATCTCCTGATGCGACAGAGGTGGTCCAGATGTTGCAATCACAACCACAAGGCACTTCTTCTTTATCCGCGGAACAAGAAGGAGAGCTTCGACGACAGATTCGGCATACCGTGGGTGGGTGCACGTTGATTCATGCCCACAAGCAAGGACATGCCTATCATGGGTTCAATCATACTACCAGCACTGCTCGCTTGAAGGATTGGTGGCAGCAAAGCAACAAAAAGAATCTAGCTGGTGGAAAACATCCACAACCAACGGAGGCGCTCCTGTCATCACCACCCCACAATCATCACTTGCTCTTGGCCATGATTGATCATGGCTTGCAGACAGACGAGATTTTGAACAATCAGTCTGGTACTCACTTTCTCCAACAATCCAATCCACGCTATATCGTTCTGAGCATTGGTGCCTATCGCAATGGAACATTCTACGGTCAACAAGCGGTACAAACCTTGCTCAAGCATCATTACAAGGTCATGATTTTGTCATTGTCTCATGTGCCCTTTGATGCCGATCGACGCACATTGGTGGCACCCAATGCACTCCTCACACCACAATCCACGCCAGCCGTATTTGACGTGCTCACTATGGGGGCCAAAATGATGAAGAAACCAATCTTGGGATTTGTGTTTGCCACGCAAGGTTTTGATATGGCCATTCCTACTGCCACACTGTATCAACCACAAATTGGCAGGGGCAGTACCGGAGTGGAGTATGCCCAGTGTCCCACGACGGGTTTGAACTTGCAATTGTACAATTCTCGCGTCGAACAGACACTCACCAAAGCCAAAAAGACCAAAAACAAGGGACGAACGCCCTTTGGATTGACTTGCCAAGGACAAAAAATGGCAGCCCCGTATTATGACTACACGGCTCCTCGCAATCGTGATTCTGTGGAGAATAATAATGCCACAGTGTGGTTTGATGGAGAGTACTTGTCGACATCCGAAGCCGTCTGTGTCAAGGCAATTTGCAGTGGAGAGGGTGATACGACGAGTGGAGCCAATGTACCCAGAACAGCATGTGCCACTCGGATCCGGGTTCCACAATCAAAGCAAAAGTTACCCAGCGACACTGTAGTCATGGATGACGACATGGAAGTAGAATCGGTCCCAAGACGATTGATGGAGAGTCGTCCGCGGGCGCGGCCGCCACCACAACAAGTAAAGGCACCTGACAGCCGTGCTGTCAAACAAGAAACCAAACCCAACCTACTCATGCTCATGGTGGAGTCCATCAGTCGACCCAGGTTTGAGCGGTCCCTGGTCAAGACCAACAAAATTCTGGAGAAACTCAATTTTACAGCCTTCTCGCGCTACACTGCTATTTCCAACAATAGCAGCGCGGCCAATCAGGCTGCACTGTTCTCCGGAAAGCATCATCATCACTCCGGTGCCAAGCGAGACTGGCTGTGGGAAACATTAAGAGCTCGAGGATATGCTACCCTCAAGGCCGCGGACACGTGTGCGGCGTCGTCATCCACTAGTACTGCTGCTGACCATGGTGCCGCGTTTCGTGAAATGATGTGCTTTGATTTTCTCCGACCCAACTGTCTCGGAGAACGGTCAGCAGCCCAACACTTGATCGACTATGGCACGCAGTTTATGAACGTCTACGACGACTTGCAGCAGCCATGGGCAGCCATTTTACAATTTGTTGATGCCAAGGAAGACTCACAGACTTTGGAGGGGACTCTGGATGAGCCTCTTTGGAAATTTCTCTTTGCAATGCATCATGGACGACACTGTGGCAGCAACACCAAGACGCCACCTGCCAACGCCGCCACGAACAACCCCGAACCCCCAGTCCCGTGTTCTGTTTGGGACAATACCTTGATTGTTGTCCTATCCGATCAGGGGATGGACTACGGCACTTACGCCCTGTCCCCGCTAGGTTTGAAAGAGAGATCCATGCCGGTGCTGGCAATGCACTTGCCGAAGAAAAGCATTTCTCGTACCAGCACCAATGCACTGGAAGCAAACCGACAGCGATGGACGACACCCATGGATGTGTATGACACGATATTAGATGTACTAGAGTCGAAGGAAGTAGAAGAAGGCGTGGCTGAAGGCTCTCTTGTGCGGTCACTCTCACAAAATCGAGTGGACTGCAAGACCACCCCTGGAGTGCCTTCTTATTTATGCAACATTTTGCAGCACAATACAACTGCGGACGCTCTTATCATGCAGGCTCCACCCTCAGTGATGAGCTTTTACGCAGATGTGCCCCGGGCCAATAAAGACCCAAGGCCATTCTGTGATGTGAAGCAATCTAATGATACCATTTTCAACAACGAATCAGAGTGCATGTGTGCAACAAACAATCGATCTTGGCACGAGTGCACACAACACCCATGGGCACTGGTGAAAAATGGGACGTCAGGGGACACTTTTTCCATGGTGGATTGCGGAGACACTGGTAGGTTATTTGAAATCCATGTCCACCGGAACCCAGAAGTTGTAGAACGGCCCGAAGTCGTGCATGCAAAGTCGTCCTCTGGGCCACGCCCCAACATTCTCTTTGTGGAAATGGACAGCGTATCCACTGCGTATGCTGACCGCCACATGCGAAGGACAAGGGAGCTCTTGTCAACTATACGCATGACGAAAAACAGTACAGTTCCAGGTGGCTTTGCTTGCGGTGGGAGCGAGAAGATATGCGCTGTGGAATTCGAAACAGTGTCAGTTGTTGGAGCGAGTTCAATCCCAAACCAGGTGGCCGTCATGGGTGGGTGCCAAGTAGGCGTGGGACCAGAGGTATGCTCGAGTTTGGAGGCAGACGCCCATAATCGCTCCATCTGTACCGATCCGACCCATCAAGCTTATGGCATGGAACTTGTGAATCGACTTCGGACAAGTGCGACGTTTTGTCGCGTGGACGAAGCAAACCGAAGCCCGTGGATATTCGATATTGCTAAGTCTTCTGGTTATGCGACGCTCTTTGCTGAAGACTTTTGCTACGATGGGTCCGTCTACGTGCCTCAAAATAACGTGTTCACTTTGAACGCAGACATCCTGCCAGCCAAGTTCTTTTGTCGTGTGTCAGAGCTTCGGGCTGCCAAAATTGAAGATGGCCCCGAAATGGTTAGACCAGCTTGGCAGTACACGTACAAACCTTCGCAGGGCAATCCAGCCTGTGTTGACGAGAGCGGAGGCTACGAAAGTGGCCTGATAGCACTACACCACATAGAATCCATGTGGGATACCTACCAAGATATCCCGAAGCTTGCCTACATCAATGGTATTGCTGCACATGCATACAGAGAGTTCAGAACGTAAGTTGGCTCAGTGGTTGGAAATGGCCTGCTTCAGATGTTTGCATTCTAACTTGAATTCCTTCCTTTATGGATGCATGCTCAGTATGGCGGATGATGCTGAAACTTACGACATTATGCTATCATCATTCTTAAGGCGAATGATGGCCAAAAAGGACATGTCGAACACGATCATTGTTGTCCGCGCGGACCATGGTCTCCAAGCTGGACCAGCCACCCCGGATTACAGTATTCAGGTAGAAGCATTGCGGCCATGGACAGAAATCATCGTTCCGAAAACTCTTGCGGGTCTTTCACTGAGCAACCTTTACGAGAATCGACAACAGCTGACCACTGGGTTTGACCTCTACAATACTCTCACGACGGCAATCGTCGGGACCGAGAAAGGATTGGTCAAAGAACCGCCTTCTTGGTCTCACCATCTCTGGAACGAGGTGATTCCGGACACACGGACATGCGCCGACGCTCAAGTAAAATCTGACTATTGCCTTTACGAAAGCCAGAGATCTTTCAGTGCTCCCAATCTACGCTCGTGCAACATGGTGGAGGACGACCAACGCTTGGTGTGTCCTTTCTTTTCCGATGAGTTCAAAGAGGAGATGAGTTCCTCGGTGTCGAATTTCTTCTACTCGAGCACAATACAAGAAAAGGTTTGCCCGGCGGAAGCCAAGGATGCAACTACAACGACGACTAAATCATCATTTGTGGACGAATGGAACATGATTGACAAAAGAGCAACAACCAAACAGCGGCGGCACCATTGGAGAACCAAGTGTCGTTTCGTCAGGCGTCCATTCTCAGTGGACTGGTCTCCGAACTGGCAAGTGGAATTCACAAGTTGGAAAACCGACCTCTGAATGTCTGCCAGACCGGTTTTGGTGGAGGCCACACGACAGCCATGTTCTTGGATGCTTCACCTCATGTTCGCGTGCACGTTTTCGACAACACGACGTTTGCTCAGGCACGTATCATGGATCATTTGAAAGCTCGTCACGGACCACGCCGTCTCGAACATCACATGGGAGATCCCTGTGAAACGGTTCCGGTACGATTGTCTCCTGTTCAGAAGGACAACAAGCCAATGATTACCTGCGACATTCTATTTGGATCCAACCCTTCGTGTCTTGAGGACAATTTGGATCTTGCCCAGAACGCCCCGTGTGGCGCCTTGTTGACGAGCATGGCAACGAAAAAGTTGCGAGATCCACTCGTGTACTTTGGTGTAAACACTCAGTGGCAAAGATTGAAACGCAAAGGATGTGTTCGTGATATTACCTGTTTTGCTTCCGACAATAAAACAAACAAGGCGAACAAATTTTGCATGGCCGTGACTACAGCCAAATGTCAAAAACTCAAGCGGCTACGAAAGGACAACAACTGCGAGACTTCGGCAATTGCTCAGTTGACGAAACGCATTGTCTTGGGTCGTGTGTGCCCATCGCATGAAGTTCGTATTCCAGAACCGATGCGGCAACAGACATCAGCACAATTCGCGTCCGTCAAAAAGCCCACCAAAGAAGCAACAGCCAAAACTGGCTAGCTAGCTACCGGAACCATCGAGTCTGCTCTTAGCTTAATCAAGGGAAATGATTCAGTTTCGCAATCTGAGAAATTATATAGATTGGGTTTGCAACTAGCTAGGCCTCCCACCAATGCCGTTTCTGAGAAGAACGGTTGGCTTCTTCCGCTCTTGCCGCCGCCTCCTCCTGACAAAGACGCTGGTAGTACTCCCCATTGAGGTACAGCTGTGGATCTATTTTGGAGAAGAAATAGTGAAAGCAGTCAAACCTGTGTCTCTCCTGCAAGCAATGTTCCATTGCATTCAACCAGTTCTCAAGGCTGGCTGTATCTTCAGCTGTCGGTGGCTGTAGTTGTGCTGTGGAAGGGTTGCCTGGTTCGCCTTCTGTCAATGCCAGGTCACATCTCTGAATAATCTCATGGATGAAGGGAAATGTGCACATGACAGGCAATGCATCTGTGTCATAAACTTCTACATCCACCTCTTGTAGCGTCTTTTTGGTTCGGACCGCTTCAATGAGAGGATCCCAACGCAACCCAAAGTTCATGTCAGCTACAAAGACAAGCTTTGTGAGCCTTGGCAAGGATATCGTCACCACACTGGCCAATGATTCAAGTGAATCCAACTGTATACTAGCCTCCAAATTCAACGCTTGGACATTCACTAGTGGATGCAAGGCATCCCAAGTCTTGGGAATACAAACTGACCCAACCCCCCCCCTAACGTGGACTGTTACTTCAGTGATTGTTTGTGTTGGCATGTGACCAATCAATGTGGACAGGAACCAATCATCCTTTTCTTCAGAGTGCCCAGAGGCAAAATGGACACAGAAAATTAGTTTCGTGAATACTGGAAGAGCACTTTGGATTCCTTCACAAAAAGTGGTCCAGTCTTCTGTTTCAATACTGTCAAAAAAACCTGCTTTGACTCCTGTGAACTCTATGTATAGTCGGATGATTGGTTCTGATCCATGCTGTCGGGAGATACAATCATCAAGCTGCTGGGTGGAATTCGGTCCAAATAGAAAACTTTCTGGTGCAAATGCCATACCACCAGATATTAGATCGTAACTGTATCTTGCTTCTCCGACGCCAAATACGATTTTCAATGCACAGCTTGCTATATTGGCTGACGTTCTGCTTGGTGTCAAGCCGCCGCTAGGAGCATATTTGCCCACGCTGACTATCATCTTTGGAGGAGTCTTTTTACTGTCTGTAGTCAAAGAGGATCGGTGGCTTGAGACCACCAACCACCAAGTCTACCGGTGGCTACTAGTCGATGAGTAAGGTAGTACCAGTAGTAGCTAGACAGGGATGCAGGTTGAACGGAGCGACAATTGAGTGGTCCGTCCACGCCATGGCGAGTTGTCAGGCTTTGGTTCGTCTCGTCGATCGTGGGGCAAAAGAATACAGTCGAATTGGAAGCTAATTTCCCTACTCTAAAACCCCCTAACAAGTCGAATTGGATCTTCTTTCTATCTAGCTAGCCAACCAGCCAAGCTGCATAAGAATAAGCTAAGGTGGGACTCCCAGCAGGTATGCATCCAAAGACATGGGTCACTAACTACATACTTGGCAGCACCATCGAGTTTGCTCTCAAATCAAACAGAGAATCTCAGCTTCTGAGAAGTATTATTGAGATTGTATCTGGCCGGTCCTAGGTGGCATCTGGCTGGGCAGGGAGGCTCTGTTTTTGACATCCTGTGGCACCCTACATGTACCGCGACAATACGGTAACAGTGGGTAAACAACAAAACAACTACAGGTTTTGTAACTAGCTAGGCCTCCCACCAATGCCGTTTGTGAGAAGCAGACTTGTTGGCTTCTTCCGCTCTTGCCACCGCCTCCTCCTGACAAAGGCGTTTGTAGTACTCCCCATTGAGGTACAGCAATGGATCTATTTTGGAGAAGAAATAGTGAAAGCAGTCAAACCGGTGTCTCTCGTGCAAGCAGTGTTCCATTGCATTCTTGTGACTCCCACCGGTGCCTTGGTGGTGGAAGAGTTTCTTCGGCTTCAAATACGATTTTCATTTCACAATGTGCTTCTCTGCCTCTGCTCAGGATCGCATTTTGACGAGGAACGTTTTTGTTCACATGAACTCTCATCTTTGGCTGTGTCTTTTGACTGTACCGGTAGCCAAAGAGGATCGGTGGCTTGAGCCAACCAGCCACCAACTTGAAGTCTACGGGTGGCTACAAAACTAAATCGCTGGCTAGACATGGGTACAGGTAGAACGGAGCGAGAAGTAGTCCGTCGACGCCAATGTCGAGTTGAGTTGTCACAGGGTTTGTCGGGGATAGCGCTGGGTGCTGTGGTGACGGCGTGATGGCGAGACGGCAGATGTACTGGTAGCTAGCTAGCTAGCTAGCTAGAGTATGAGAGGGCTGGATCTTTTCTTCTTTTTGTTTTTCCAAAAGACGGCAAAGCTGTAAAGCAAACAATTGAATTTGCCATTACCGATGGTACCAGGTAGGCACCGGCGCTGGCAGAGGGATGGATGGGAACCACCTCAATCGCTGTCGTACTACCGTAAGACCTAGAACTGAGGTTTGCCTTTCCTCACAAAAGTTAGTTACTGATCCATTGAGAGATCCCAATGAGACAGCATTCATCCACAGGAAATAGCTAGCTGGGAGTGTTTCTGGTTGCCCCCTACGGTACCAGTACGTATTCTGGGTCTACTCTTGTGATGATGCATGCTGATAACTATTTGCTCATCCTATGTACTCACTCTATCTGTAGTTCGTTTTCGGATCGATCCGTATCCTCTTGTTCGAGTAAAAAGGATAGTTCTGCTGCGGCATTATTACTAGTTGAGCCTGCCTTGTGATCATTCTTGGCAGTCCTGCCACTCCCCACTCGTTTTTTCAAGTTGGCGTTGCGGTTTTTCCACAATCCACCATAGCGGTAATGAGGAAATGCCGGTGATCCATCCGGAATTCCTCCACTGACAGTGGGCCAGCAGGTGCCACACACCATTTTGTAGTGTTGCGTTTCATCGATCGTGCATCGTATCAGCAAGTCCACGTCGCGGGCGCACAAATCACAGGGTTTCCTCCCCAGGTGAGGTGCATTGCCCTCGCGTTTGGCCCGTTGTTCTCGTTTCTGTGCCTTGACGGCTTATTTGTGTTGTTTCCGTTGCATTTGTTTGGTCGATAACACTGGATCTTGTTGTTGTGTGTTTTGCTCGGATGAGCTGCCAGCACCATATTCGTCGTCACTTGCAACCAATACGCCCGCCGCCTCGACCATCTTTTGTGCCGCTTCCTTTGGTTGTCCCGATTTGCGTTGGGCATTGCAACTCTTGCTGCAGGTGGTGACTTCATCCCACGCTCGTTCCCACTTTTTCCGCCATGTAAACGGTCGGTGGCACACGACACAAACCTTGGAAGGAAAGTTTTCCTTGGCTACGGCCTTTCCCAGTTTTCTTCCCTCGTTCGGTGGTTTCCTCATTCTGAGTAGGCTCGAGGAATGATAGGGTCGCCTCAATGCAAAGGAGTGCGCTGGATGGCCCAATGTTATCGCCCCAATGGCAACTGCGGCAGCGCGAAGTCTCGGAATTGTAGACTGTTTTGCTCGGCTGAGGGTTGAGGGCAAAGTTAGTTGTTTGCTCTCCAGAATAGTTTGGATCCCACGAAATGGTATGTGTAATTGCTCTACTGCTGCCGCTCTTCTTTGCTGGGTCTGGAATGGATCATTGGGGCCGGTCTTTGATGATGAGTCAGAGCGGGCGATGGTCAGGAAGTGAGGAGCGAGGAGTGAATTTCCGCTTCCCCTTTCTTTTACAATCACAAGCCCTCAGATTTTTAAAATTTTGAACAAGCGGCTGACTCTGACTCGACTCAGCCAACCTTCGCTCACAATGGTCAGTTACAGCGGCATTGAAAAGTACCCATAGATTTACAAACAGGTTTAACAAACAGTTTCCGGAACTTGCCGCATCGTACCCCACACTGTCCTTCCGTCCACTTCTGGCCACATTTTCAAAACCAGTCAACAGTCAATGCTAAAGGGCCAGGTCAACATCCAGACAATAAGCAGCAAGACACATTATGTTCTGTTCAACTGACCTACAACTACTGAGATTACAGACGGCTCTCGGCATAGACTGCAAACAACATGCTGCCCCAGGTAAGAATCCCAATCAACAACTGCAAGAGTGCCTTAGCATTCCACAACATTTTCCCATTCAGTTTCCCCGCTTTGCAACTCTGCATTGCTTCTGTTGGAGCGACCAGCCATTTCTCGCTTCATCTCCTCCACAATCTCTTTTCCCTTGTGCTCCCATTCGATACGATTTTCGTAGGCGGTGTCCAAATACTCATGTCCAGAGGCGCCAAATACTTTGCATTCTTTGAGCTTTTTCGCCAACGGAATCACATAATTATCAAAGAACCATAGCTCCCCTGCATACCACCCTGTAGAAGGGTCCTTGTCCGTTCGTCCCGACAAGAAAGCATCGTACATCTCTTGAAAGAGCCGACGATTCCATTTCTGGTAGATGGTCCAGTGCTGCACGCAGTGGCTAATGTCGCTTGCTTGAATGACGTGCTCCAGAACAATGGTTCCCTTCCTATTCAAGAAGTCAGGGTCCTCACTTTGGGCTGACTCCGAAAAGGCATTGTTCCAGCGATTGTTGCGCATGCTTTTGAGTTCAGGGTCGAACACATCAGTTGCAATGACAGCATTGACGATCTGTTGTTTACGAAGAGGACAAGTCATATTAGAACGTGCCTGGAGAGCAAGGACAGCAACAACTCACAATGAACGTCAACGTACCAATTGTCGAAAGCGTGCAAGCTCCTCTTTTGTGGGAAACAAACATGCTCGGAGGTCGCAGTAGGTCGGACGCATGAAGATTTCCCAAGCAACATGTACACTGTGCTGTTCCGCAATGCTTTTTTTAGAGTATCGTTGAGCCATCGACGGTTCCTCTGTTGCCAGAACAGGATTGGGAACGCCCCTGTGGTCAACATCATGAATAATCGCCGCAACAATGATAGCTAACTGAGCCAACGGGTCCATGGCAACACCAAAGGAATGGATGTACACCTCTTGTTGGGACAGAGTCTTGCTGTGGCTACAAATCTTGTTCATCAGCTTGTTCGCAGACATGGTAACATGGGATGCATGCTGTTGGGCAAGAAAATGGAGTGTGTGAGGTTATAAGGTCACTGAACACTGAAAGGTTACGCTTTTTCGAGGCTGATACGAACCTCAAAGTTGTGGAAAGGGTTGTCGCGATATGAGTGAGCAATTTCCGCGACGAACTCGTGGAGCTGGTGGACAACTTGCGGCTCCAAAGATGTCTTTGTTGCAGTGAATGTGGCCTTTTGAAAAGGAGGAAGGGAGATAGTGTCGACCACTTCATCACGTACACTGTTGGATCCTTTTGTCCAAATCGCCGCTGCTGAACTACTTTCTTCATCTGTCGAAGGATCCATTCCCATTGCCTGCCGGCGCATCAATACCTTTACAATGAGATCCTCACATATCTTGGCATTGAAGTCAATCAAGCGTTCCGTAAGGCCTGAATCGGGAGTTTCCGTCAAGTCAAGCATTGCGTCAATGCCGTCATTCCCCTCAAAGACATGGGAGTTATTCATTTGAACACTTGAAGCCGCACTTCGATGCGTCGAAGCACCAGAGACCGGTTCAACCCAGAACGTTTCCATCGTGCCTTTCCCTTTAGCCTCAATGGGATCTTGCCGCTTGGTCATCCATACGCCCTTGCCAGCTTTCTCGAGAGCCTCGGCCGTCTTTGATGACACTTGGATGCGATTGGGGCTTCCGTTGCTCTCCATTCGCGCTGCAGTGTTGACCGTCTGCAAAAGGGCAAGTTCAAATGAAGACTATGAGTTGAAGAATCCAGAAACAAAAACACAGCAACGAGGGCACATCCAAACTCACATCCCCAAACAATTGGAAGCGCGCCTTATCTGTGCGCAAGATACCGGCTGTCACAGCCCCACTAAAAGTGGACGCAAGCGAGTTGTGAGTCATTCCCGTTTGTCACCAATTCATGTAATGCAATCATCCTTCTGTTCCCTGCTTCTGCATACCTGTGAATACCAACGCGAATTTTCAAGTTCCCTGTTCCCGGTCCCAACTCTGTCTCCAAGTCGTTGGTGATGGAGTTCATCAGATCCCTAATGTCGGCGGCAAATCGACAAAGAACCACGGCGTGATTTGCCCGGGGCTCGGGAAGGCCACATGCGGCCAAGTAGCAGTCTCCCTATCAAACGAAAACGAGTGCACCTGTGAGAATCGAATCAAGCGATCTCCTCTTCCTGCACTGCATTCTCAAAGCTGATACTTACGATGGTCTCGATTTTCAAAACGCCCCGTCGCTTGCACACGCGGTCAAAGGCCCCATAGAGCGCCTCGAGCAAGCGAAAGATTTGATCGGGCTCTCGTTCCGAAGACCAGGCCGTGAAACCCACAAGGTCTATATATTATGTGGACAATGAGAACGAAGGTCGGTTGGATCAGATCGATGCATACAGGCCAATCGAAACAAAGTCCTGCTTGCTTGCTGTTACTCACCTGCAAAGAGAACCGACACCTCCGGGAACAAATCAGCAATCGGACGTGTATCCTTCTTGACATCACCGCTAGCACCAATGCTGGCACTGTTTAGCTCTTGTTGCTTGTTGACAAATGTGGACCTTCGTGTTTGTTTCGCCTTTTCTTCGTCTTCTTGATCGTCGTAGAGCCTTGCCCGGACATTGGAAGGAAACAACGAGCTGACAATCTGTCATGAACAAACAAACAACAGAACACAAGAAGAGAGTGAGAGGCCGTTCTTTGTCAAAACACTAGACCAAATCTCAAAGATCAGTAGATCAGAATGTGTACTCACCGCATCACTGCGCAGCGCACTCTTCATGACAATCATTTGTCGTTGTTCGACCCACCAGTCATAAAAGACAAATACGGCCGTGGTAAAGGCAAAGATGACGACTGCCGCAATGGTAAGGACAATGGGAAACTTGGTAAGAAATTGATCCTCATATTGCTGACTGGGATAAATGTGAATGGACCAGGGACAGAGATCTTTCTCCAATGGAATGTAAGAATACCGATTGGCACCGGCATTGTATTCGTCCAAATCTTGTAGTAACGACGTGAATTTTAATGGATTGTATTTGGCATTGTGATGATCTCCGCCCCCCAAGTAACGGACGGTGGGACCATTGATTTCGTAGGTAAAAGTGGCACTGCAGGGACTGGTAAAGACGGCCACGACCCCAATGCTGCCATCGGGCAGAATGCCCTTGATCATGTCTCTCCAATACACGGACTGTGACATGATGCCCACAACTTGATGTTGCGTGGGATCATAGTCTGGTTCGAGACTGAGGGCACGTTGATCCAACATGTCTGGGACCATGGGATAGTAGAAATCTGTAAAGCAGGACGAGACAGGACGAGAAAGCAATTGGCAAAGGAAAAGTGAGTTGTGAGTCACCAGCCTGCAGGACCTGTAGTTGTAACAAATGTCGATCCTTGACTTCTTGAACTCACCAGAAAGTGGCTCCATGGCTTCTTCGTGGGGCGAAATGTAATTGCTAAAGTAGTCGGCCCAAGCTTCATTTTCCACCTTGATGGCAGGGTCATCATTTTCCGATGCCACCATGTACGCACGAGAAATCGATGTCTGATGCGCTTGAATGCAATGCAGCACGGATTCATTCTCGGCGACGGTCGCTAGATCCCAGTTGTACACGGGCGATGTTGGCACGAGAGGTGCCGATTGCCACATGGGCAGCATGGGTCCACTATGATTGGCAGGCAATCCGACTGGATTCTCGACGCCCCAGGCAGAATAGTCATGAACAAAATCGAGATAAACAATCGACTCGTCCGTCACATTGCGCGCGTCGTAGACATCTTGAAAGAGATTGTTGGCGCGGAGGTAATCGATACTGTTTTGCGCCCACGTCGGTCCTTCTTTGGCGGTGTAGGCTTCCCATTCGGGTCGCGTCTCTGGCGTTACCAATATGAATTCCATAAAGACGGCCGCTTTGGTAAGATCGAGGAATTTGCCCGACCGTGCTTCAAAGTCAGGAATTGTTACGCGAGGCCAAGTCTGGTTGGTATCGCGGGCATAGGACAACATGGTCATGACGTAGGCATCGACTCCGGCAATGGCCTTGTCGAGACTCGCTCCCAAACTCTCCAAGACCTTGCGGGCATCTTGTTCAAAGGCCGTTTCAAACTCATTCACTTCGGCCTGACTTGTGAACTTGTACGTCACCACCGCCACCACGACGGCTGAAAGAAGCAGGACTCCAAAGACCAAGACTTTGGAGCTAAAGACGGCCTTGGATTCTCTCTTGCCCAATAAGACGGCCTTGTTGCTGGCATTCTCCGTGGCTCTGCCGCCGTTGTTTTCCGAACTATAGATGGTTCCCCGGTCATCGTCGTCCATGCGGCTGAGTTCCACGCTGCCCGTATCATGATCACTATCTTCTTCTTCGAGTTCGTCCGGCATCATCATCATCATCCTATCGTCATTGGGTTCGTCCAAAAAGGTGTCGTTCATCGTATCGTATCGTATCGTATCGTGCGTTATTCACTTACTTGCGTCGGAAGGTTCGATCGTTTGCTTTCAAGAGTAAAGTAGTCTAGTCTTTTCCTTCTGAGATTTGTGAAGTGTGTGAGATTTGTGAATTGTGTGAGACTTGTGACTCTAGGGCCGAGACTGCTTGGAGAGACCGATTGGACTGTAGATGGTAATGGCCAAACAGACACTTGTATCGGATACTTTGCCTTGTCAAAGGAACCTTCGTCGCTAAAAGCGATACTCCGTGGTGGTCAACCGTGTTGAAGTTCCAATACTGTGTGCAGTCGAGAGCTACCCGAGAGCTACAAGCTCGAGTACGTACCAGTGCCAGAAGTCTCCAACGATGGGTGATGGGTGAAACGCGGGTGGGGGGTATCCATAGCTGGTGACCACCGTTCATCCGTACATTGGAGGTACCAAGGACACTTTCGCAAAATCCAGCTGTTTTTCTTAGAACTCCAATTATTATTAGTACGGTATTTCACCGGTACGTGTCATTGTGTCATTCCCCTGGTGCGACAACAACGGACCGCTTTGCTTTCCGATCAGCAACCCACAGTCATTTTCGCATTAACTATTTATTTCTTTATTTATTTTTCAACCGACCATACATGCACTATCATACCGGTAGCCCACCTTGCCACTTTGACCATTGAGCCATTGAGAATTCATTGAAGTCAACATAGCATGCGGTGAAACTGCGCGCAATAATGATGGGTAGGGGTGTACCGGTAGGGTGTAGGGGTATCTGCGTGTCAGCTAGCAGTTTCGAACTCTACGAGTTGTAAGCTACCGTAACGTAGCTTGGACACTTTCTCAAAAGCCAGCTGTTATATTTGGAACTCCACGTATTTCACTGGTAAGTTTCAGTCCATTGGTGCTCCACCAATGATCCCTTCGCTTTCGGACATCGATTGATTGGGTACCGGACCGGTAGTTCACGGGCTGCTCACTGCTCATGGCTCATGTTTAGTAGCGCTGTCTCTACCGGTAGCGCTGTGCAGTTTGTAGATCGGTCATTCCAACGAACTGTATGTAGGAGCTCCTACAGCCCGGTAGGTGCACATGGCCCCTTGTTTGACCATTGAGAATTGAATGAATCGAATCATGGAGAGGAGTTCGTGGAGAGGAGTTCTTTCATCGTTCAACGACCCAGAATCTCAGGTGAAATAATGGTCGAACAGCCCTGAAGCCAAAGTGCACGATGCCACGCCAGCAACCGGACACAGCGGTACTGCACAGGTTACTCGAATACTCGAATACAGAAAGTACATCATGACGTTGTAGTTGTGGTTGAGGTTGAGGGTTGTAGTTGAGGGTTGAGGGTGGTGGTCGTCAAAAAATAGAGGTTTTGCAATAACCTGACCACTGAGAGCACCCTTCGTGAGAAAGGATGTCCTGGCGATACAAGAAAACAGCCAACTCTCGTACTACTACCACGCCGTTGTGAGCTGGCAGTTGCGGCTTAAATCCACATACATGATGTGTCTTCTACAAGAGGCATCAGATTCTTTGCTCTAGCTAGTAGACGGCTGCGCAAGTATGCATCCCAAGTCAGTTGATGAATAGCTACCCATGGCTTTGATTGAGGAGGTGCGAAGTATAGAGTGCTCGTAGATTCTTATCACGTCAAAAAAACAGCTAGCCAACTACATGTACCGCAGTTATTACCATACTGTGCTGCTCTGGGCAGTTGCTGCTTAAAAACTCCAAGTGATGTATCTTCTACAAGAGGCATCAATGCTTTGGAGCTGCCTTGGGTACATAGCTCAAAAGTGCAACATACATATGCAGTAAGACTTGGATGTACATGTACGAATGTACTACCGGTAGTCCGTTCCAAGTTTGACGCCGAGTCGAGGAATGACTAAGGATAATCTATTACGTACATGTATGTAGTCTAGAGTAGGAGTTGCTAGCTACCGTAGCTAGCTCGTAGAACGAGACTACAGGCGCGATGTTGCTTGCTTTGATTGAGTAGTACTCGTAGATTCTTTTCACAGCACGAACAGCTGTCCTTTAATTAATGCTTCCAAATAACATAATATTGTACCGTTTGTCGATGGCTATCTTCGGGGCACTTGAATTCATGACCTTTAATTCATTCAAATGCGAAGACTTCAACTGCACGTGTCCACGTACTCGTACCTGGTACCGCTACATATACCGTACCGACACGTACCGGTACGGGTACCGTTCCGCTACGGGGCGTTACCGGTACCGGTACATGTACGGTACCGCTGTGCGAAACCAAGCTCAACCTCAAGAGCTTTCCCGCCCTCGAGCAAAGTCTGGCGTTTGAGAGACCAACTAATAATATCGGCCAGAGCCAATCGAGCTTGAGAACTCCAGGAGATCACAGATACTAGCATGGTCATCCTCGGTGCTTTCGTTGTGGGTGCATGTTCTTGGCGCCGCAACGGTACTAGTAATAATACATACTGGTACGGCACGTTTCGCCTTGGGGGCACGAAAATGTCTCTGAAACATCAAGGGTGGGTGTCCAGTTCTAGCTCGCCCAAACACGTAGTCGGAAGCATTAATAGCAAGCAAGCATGGTTCCGATGGGGTATTGAAGAGCCAGAAAGTTGGAAGAAAGCAAAGTTTGGTATATCCTCAGTTACCGCTAGCTATAGCTACCCACAGATCCACAGAAACAAGCCTACCACTCGCCAGGAATCAAGTCAGACATTCGAGTACAACCATTGCACCGTGGATCAATCACATTCTTTCGCAATTCGTTGATCAGACGACTCCAATTGCTCTTGGTGGTGAGCACATAATAGTTCGCTTCCATGGACAACAGCAGGGCACCCAAAGAGGATAGACCTGCTTTGCTGCTGGCCATTTTGGCCATGTTCTTGATTTCAACCCCCTTTCTCTTCTTGGTGAGTGGACCCGAATGGTGTATCTTCCAGTGCTTGGGTGACGCATTTTGAAAGCCGTCAATCGCATTGACATCTTCTGCCGCAATGTACACGTGCAGTGGATAGTTGGGGTCTTTAGTCTTGTGGCGTCCAATCAACTTGTGTACTTCCTTGACGTAGTCTTTGGCAGGTCGTAGCTTCATTTCCTTTTTCTTGTCGCCCCATCGAATGTGTACCGTGACCAAATGCTCCGGGTCCGGCAGGCCTTCGTCTCCAAAGGCTTGCAGTAGTTGCGCCTTGGCTTCAGCAAGCAGGATATCCTGAACGTTGCTAAACATCCATTCCGTCGTGGCGGCCCGAAAGTCACCGACTGTAGCATTGTGGCGTTGCAGTATGTCATCGCACATCCGGGGTGCCATTTCCGTGGTAAAGTTGGCAATCAATGGATCGTCCTTGGACTGTGGCAGTTGAATGCCAGGACAGGTTTCGGGAGTGACTTCCAGATGGCTTCCAAAGTAGCAGGAAAACGGAGAAAACGCTTGACTGTAGTCGGCAACCTTTTGGCCACCCGGATCGCATCGATTGTGCATCCAAGCAAACGCTCCCCGGGTCAACACCTGTTTCTCGGTTTGCATGGCACTGCAGACGCTCTGCGACCACATGTGCAGCATCTGACCTAATCCATTGCGTCGGGGTTGATGAATCCAATAGCTCGGCGAATTGTTGTTGTTGTTGGATCGGCATTGGGTCTGATCGTGTCGAATTTGTTGAGCTAATGCGGATTGGACCGGTAGATTCGACCAATCAACGCGGAGATGAAGACGCCGGTTGTTGCTCGAACTGGTTTCCAGTGATTGTACTTGATGAATAAGGTTCCCCATGTGGCCGCCAGGAGTCTCTGAGGTACTTGTTGGCGCCTCAGGAGTCTTCGTTGCTGAAGACTCGGATGCCTCCGTTTCTCTGGTCGCAGATTCTTCCGTGATTGCTGCAGTCGAGGGAGCCTCCGTTGGCTTCGATAACGCTGTTGGTTCCCTACGAATGGGAGCAATCTGAATTTGCTCCGTTGCCGCAGAATCGGGAGGCGGAAGCAGCGATGGATGGGTGGCCAGCGAACGACTCTCCTTTGGTACCTCAAACGCTCGATGTGACTGCCGAAGCAGCGCAAGGACCGCCCCCAGAAACAGCATTTGCAGGACTGGTCCATGCTGCTGCCATGTTGTTGTCCTTCTTCTATTACGTCGTGGAAATCTCCCCATGCCATTCAATGCTGTGCAGGACAATCTGCTTTGCTTTGCTTTGCTTTGTCAGGTGTCGTGCCGCAGCTTGGTTGCACTGAGGCCGCGGTCCCCGGGTGCTCGGTGGGGAAGCCCCAAAAATGTGAGAGGTGCGCGGTTCAGACCCCAAACCACACAAACCACGAGAAGGCCCAAATGCAGGGGGCGAAGGGCCAGGAGTTGTTTGTTTGGCTTTTCGTGAAAAGAAGGAAGCGGGATACCGTACCGGTACATGTACCTGGTACACCTCTGTCCTCAACAGCCGTCTCGCCTGAGGAGCCTTGATGATTCCCTTGGGCATCTTCTGTAGCTGGAGTTAGCTAGACGTCCAGCCCAATAAATCAGTTCTAGATCTGCTCAGCTCAATCTAGCTAGTAGAGCATCATAGTTGCTCCTTTTAGTTAATATACAGTATGGCATCCACCAATGACATCGAAATGTCAAGTCTCCTTGTTCACATTACAATATTCAAGCAACTCTTGCAGCATGCAAAGCACAAGGAGACAATACTTTGTTGTGACAGCCAGTCCACCGTAGAATTGTTGCAGGAAGTTCCATCACCCATGTCGTTGGTGAGTCCAAATCTTGGGCCCATACTCTCCCTGCTGCATGTTGCCACAGAGCATCTGGCCAGGGCTAAAGAGTCCGCGGCATTGGCAGAAAATGCTCTAGCAGATTTGGCCTCTCAGAAAGGAGAAACTGTAATGCCAATGGAACTTAAAATAGCAACAAAGGAACTGGAGGACGTCCGTGATAACAAAAAACTGGGGGACGTCCGTGATAAAAATGAAAGGGAGACAAGTTGCTGTGTCGGTGCAGTTTGCTCATCCTGCTGGACGACTGCCGCGACATCTTGTCGTACGAACACGGATTGTGGAAAAGTCAGAGAGTCCGTAGGGGAGAGGATTATTTCTGCTATCACGAAGCGCTATATTCGCAAAGAGCAAAAGTACGGAGTTGAGCTACCCAAGACTGTGGAGCAGGCACTTGCAATTGATAAGGAAACCGGCACGACATTCTGGAAAGATGCTATCAAGAAGGAGATGGCGGCTGTTGGCAAGGCATTTGAGATATTGGAAGAGGATGCCCCTGATCCAGTTGGCCATACTCACATCCGTTGCCATATGGTTTTTGACGTGAAAAGTGACTTCACCAGAAAGGCACGCTTGGTCGCTGGAGGACACATGACTGACCCCCCTTCTTCCATCACTTATGCTAGTGTTGTCAGTCGTGAAAGTGTGCGACTTGCTTTCCTGATTGCGGCATTGAACGATTTGGATATCTTGGCAGCCGACATTGGCAATGCTTACCTGAATGCCCCAGTCCGGGAGAAGATTTTCATCACTTGTGGCGCCATTCGAGGGACGCAAGGCAAAGGTGGTCAAGGCCTTGTACGGTCTGAAGTCCAGTGGAGCTGCATGGAGAGCCCATTTGGCCGAAGTTTTGCGAAAAAATTTGGGCTTCACTTCATGCAAAGCTGACAATGACGTTTGGTTCCGAGCTGCCACCAGGCCTGATGGCAGGCGGTACTATGAGTATATCCTGGTTTACACTGATGACATTCTTTGCCTGTCAACTGACCCTTGGACCTGCACTTCTTGTCGAAGCCTGGGTCCCTTGGGAAGCCGACGCAGTACCTGGGAGCATCGATCAAGGAGTACAACCTTCCCGGTGTTGACAAGCCTTGTTGGTCGATGGGATCCGAGCAATACATCAAGGATGCCGTCAGGAATGTGGAGGCTTGGCTTGAGCGTCGTGGAAAGGCACTCAAATCGAAGGCTACTTCGGTGCTACTCAGCAACTACACTCCTGAGTTGGATGTGTCGAATCTTTGTGATGATGAGTTGACGAACTACTTCCAGCAGCAGATTGGGGTTCTACGTTGGGCTGTGGAGCTTGGAAGGATTGACATTTGCACTGAGGGCTCGATCATGGGTGAACAGGTTCTGGGCAGGATTCGAGAATACCTCCAGGCAAAGGTGGACAGGGCATGCTTCGTGGATTTCGATTTGACCCATTTGTGTTACGTAATAATATTTAGTAATTACATGGTTATCAAACCATATCGGGCTATCTACATTCATCCAATTTCCGTCGAATTTGTGTTTGAGCTCGAGTCAATGTATTGCAGCATCTATGTAGTTCCCCTTCCTTCACAAACCTCTGCAGGGCCCCGTATCGTACAGCCACCGGTTCATGGGGCTCCCAAATCGATCGTATTGATGAACCACAAAGGATCGTTCACCTTTGGAATTGACAAAATAACCCTGCACATCTGTCAGCGGGATCGTCAAGTCCATACTGGATAGCCAATTGTTGCCTAGCCAATTTCCATCCTTCTCCTCTTGGATTGTTGTGTAGGGGTTTTCCAGTGCATGTCGACCATCCAATCCCAATCCTTTGTAGTAATCCCGTTTCGCCTTGAGAACCTTGGCGCCATATTTTCCCACGGTATGGACCAATCCCTGTCCATTGGGTATAGCCACAGAATGGGGTATTGCCTGGGGAATTTTGCCCGTGTAGTACAAGTAGTTGTGAATGGTTTGGTCATCACCACTCATGTAATTGCAGCAACAATCGGGGCTCTTCATCCACTCCATCATTTCTTGGACCATAATGTTGAGATAGGACAGCATGGCATCCCGTGTCCCAATAGTGGTGCCACTACAGAGCATGACCTCATTGGGTATTTCCATTTTCTTGCACTTTTCTATTTGTCGTTTGCAGATTGGATGGTGTGTTCGTTGCTCGGGATCTTCTTCAAATACCTGCAGTCCTTTCACGGGTGATGCTTCTGGCCCAAATGGATCGCGCTGGAAGAAGGTATCTCGTACATCCGTAACTAGGACAGGACCGGTGCATTGTTGGCATTCCTCCAAGTAATCTCGAAGCAGGGCGAATCGGCCCTGTTTTGTTAGATGCAGCAAAAAACAAACGTAGTGTGGGCCAGTCAGAGGAGTTGGCGGTGGAACCATAATAAGATGAACGCACACATCAATATAACATACCCATCGAATCTTCAAGTCGGGATACGGATGCGCACAAGTCGTTCGTTCTTTCTCGTGTTCATTTTTGGGAACCAGCGTATTCATGCCCTTGGTACCATGAGTACAATTGACGCTGATTAATGGTTTCATGGTGACATTTTGACTCGTCAGGTAGTCTTCCACCGAGGGCTCTAGCTGTTGCGACACGACCAAAATGATGTGGCCTTGATAGCCGGTAGCACGGAGCGATCCCACGAAACTCTTGTAACTTCGCAAACTGTAGCCAGTGGCCATGCCCATGACCGTGGCATGCTTGCTGGATTGTGAATGCGATTCCTCATTCGTGGCGGACGGGTCGCGACGATGGGCGGCTGACAGCGCCGGTATCTTTCGGCCGTCTTGCCCAGAAGGATCGTTGATGGCTCCTAATGGAAAGTATCTGTCAGTACCGGTATCATCGGAAGTCTTCCAGTTGCTCTCGGACGATTTTAGATTTCGACGAAGCGATTGGTTCCGGAGGAATAACCAAAAGGTTCCTGAAATCAACAGCAGTCGAATGAATACCTTGCCGTATCCTCCTTCTTTCATGGTTATTTGTCAGCGGGAATCGTCAGACGACACAATAGTATACACAGTAGCAGTCGAGAGCGGATGGTTGAATTAGACGATGATTCAAATAATGTCTCGACGAGCTAGTTAGTTCTGGATAGATCGGAGCGTGATTTTTGGGGTCCCTTGGGCTATCCGAGTTGCCCTCCATTTGGTAGCTAGCTAGATCCAAAAGTCAGGGGATACGGACTCTATTGTCACGAATGAATCCCATTCAAGCGAATCCAACAAATATATCAGCTGAAGACACGGACCTCTGGACACAAGTATTCAATATGATGTCGTTGGCCATCACGGGTTGACTTGGGCCGCAGCAGAGTCCATGGTACGCTGCGTTACACGGTTCCCTGCGGAGTAAAGTTGGAGCAGGAAGAACTCAATGGTTAATTGCAGCCGGAATGTTGGTTGGTTACATCAATGGCAAGGATCTTAATTACCGCATGATTCTGCTCAGGAATGCTGATTGGGGTCCAAAGAGAAAGCGAAATCTGATTGATTCCAAACCGAGAGTGTTTGTTGGCGGCAGGGGAATGTATCCACGAATGAGAGACCTCCACGGTATCCACGAATGAAGCCATCTGTATCCACGAATGCGACGAAAAGATCTAAAGCCAGAAGACGCGGTGACAATTTTTAAGCCCCATTCTAGCATTGGCAACTCTTGCAATCTGCCTGATCAACCCCAGACCAAACGCTGGTTACGCACTTACACTGTATCCCAACTCCAGGATCTATACATGTCTTTTCTCCTCTGGTTTCTCAAGCAATTTTGATGACGCAGTTTATGGTATGATATCATTCTTCTTCAATGAAGTGGTGCTATAGGTTACATAGTGCAACTTTTGGAAAGGCCGCCAGCAAGTTCATTATTTCAGTTACCGCCATAACTCGCAATATCAAACTCGTACTTGAGTGCACTTGCAGTCGAAAAGAAGGCACCGGTGGGACGGACTGTATCCCTCAACAAACTGTCGACATCCAAGTGCAAATTGAAGGAATCAACAATAACTTGCAGAGGTGGCAAACCGCCGTCAAACGTAAACTCTACCAAAAGATTCTGCCACCATCCCAAATCAGCAAGACGCTGCTCCGAGTACTCTATTGACTGATCATAAAGACGAGAAGCAGAGTCTGAGTCCAACCCAGTTCGCAGGCCAGCTGCAAAAAAGTCCAACAGTTCGTCATCCAGCAACGATTGCTCCTCCACTGATGGGAATCCCTCGCTGTCAAGTGTGTAGACTACAGTGAAATCCACCAGGACACTGTTGACATCCGGAATCGTGGGAGACGGGGCGGAGAAAGTGAGTTCCTCCGTTGGCTCGGGCGTTGGCTCCCCCGTCGGGTCTGTAGTCGCAACCGAAGGAGTTGCGGTGGGGATCAGGGTTGGCGAGGGACTTGTTGGAGCTGCAGTAGGCGCTTTGGAGGTTGGCGAGGGTGTGATGAGAAAAGTGGGAGCCACGCTTGGCATCAGTGTTGGCTGCGCTGTTGGATTCAGAGTCGGCTCAAGGGTTGGTCTGGCTGTTTGTGATGCAGTCGGGAGGTCTGTAGCCACACGGGATGGACTTGGTGTAGGACTTCTAGTCGTTGCAGGACTTCTAGTCGTTGCAGAAGGACTGTTTGCTGGTGGGATTGGTGCTTGGGATGGAGGAGTTGTGCTCGGGATATTCTCCTTTGCTGCGGGTCGCTTCTCCGTTGGGGGTGGACTTGGCGCTAATGTCTGTGGTATCGGCGAGGGTGTTGGCAATCGGACGAAAAGACCAGTTGGCTCAGTTGTAGCTACTGCAGTTTGCTCTGCATTTGCATCTTGAATTACTTCAGGGAGAGCTGTGACGTTGGCTTGCACCGGCGAGTTACCACTTGCCGAAAGATGACCTTGGGTGCCGGTTGTGTTGCCCAGCAATGTGGTTACGAGGACCATAACCACAATGATGGCGATGGAGAAGAAACAGATTAAGCAACCAATCAACAACAACATTTGCCGATGGAGCAGCAGATCGGTCAGCTTGACATTGGTGGTGTCTTGCGGTGGCAGCGATGACGCGTCCGCAACGACCTTGGGCTTTTCCAGGTGGTCACCTGCAGCTAGAGTGGGTTGGATCATATCTCCTTTAGGAGACGGAGCAGTACTCACTGAGGGAACCTCATCGGCCACGACAAAGGCTTCTACTAAAGGTTGATCATCCATACCCAGATAAGGGGCAGAGGAATATCGTCCTTCCTCCAGGTCCGGCTCAACCGCAATGTCTGCTTCGCTTCGGGTCACTTGAAGGTACTGCTGCCTTGAAACTAGCAAGCGGTCCGATCCCGACTCTGTAGTATTCTCGAGAGGACTTCTGTCAGGATATGCCCCTGGCTTTATTCCAGTTCGGAGATAAGTGTTGCGAAGCTTTTCCCGGGACAGCGACATGCGATTGTGACGTTGGGGGCTTTCTTCGGAGAGCAAAATATTCCTTTGGCTGACCCTTGTAGTCTGGACGGGCTCGTGACGGCTACTACCAAGGCCATGCTTGGCTCTGCCCTTGGCAAGTCGATCTCTTTCATCCATTTTCTTGGTCAAGCCGCGAAGCTCACGGTTCTCGGAAATCTGGCTTGCCACCGAGTCTCGAGTGGCTTGCTGTGCGTTGCTCGCGTTTTCATCAAGGTATCCGTCGAGTTTCCCAGGTGCCGTTGGATTGGTCGAGCTTCTGACTAGGTCTTCTGGTTCCTTCTTGGTGACAACTAGCTCCTCTGTTCGAATGGGACCTATTGCCGATGATTCGTCGTTTTCTTCTTGTTTTTGTTCATCTTGCTGTTCCGTCTCCATTGAGCTGTTCTCGTCGTGTGGCTCGCCACTTGGCTCTACCATTACTTCGCGTTGTGCACAGAAATCTGCCTCTTCTGTTTCTTCTTCCTTTTTCTTGCCAGATTGTGTGATTTTATCAGATGGTGGTGATCCAGGTTCCGTGTGAGACTCGTTAATGTTAACGGAACCCGGGTCAGGGTCACCGTTGTCGTCGCTGGGAAGTGGTTGCATCATTTCCATCCAAGATGCGCAATACTTTTGTCCTCCCACTCTCCTGTACAAGCTGGCTGCAGTCGATATTGTAATTGTGTGGGTTGGGAGTTCAACGACTTGATCGTGCCGGTAAAAGTGAGCTAACGCATTTGATTAAAGGTCCTAGAAACTACTCCGTAATCTTCTCTATTCAACTTCACTCCCAAGACTCCGTACAATGTGAAAGGAAACAGAAGTGGAACGGGAGTGCAAACAAAGGACCAACGGACTTCCAAGTGAGATCGAGAACGTTCGCTGTGTGCACACCACAAGCGAGCAGCCGTTTGCCGTTTGTGGATTGAATCACTGATGCAGGTCTTGAGTTTTCTGCACGGATCTCGAGAAAACTCTGTTGTAATAAAGACAGCATAGAATGTTCTTTGGCAGTCGCCATCTTCCGTTCCGTTCCTCTCCTCTATCTGGAGTCTGGAGTGTTGGTGCCGCCATCATCTCCCCTCCTCTGAAAGACCTGGCTGCATGCACCATCGCCTGCGAGAAGTGTGACTGCTCCCTGCAGCATTGCGCGCAGACCCAGTCATGCTTCGAACTCCCACTGCGATTGACACCCAGCAAGCGAAACCTTCAGAATGTAAAAAGGCTCACAAAAAGACAAACGTCGCAACACAAACACAAAACCAAGATCAAGATCAATCATGTACAATTTCAACACCACCAAGGCAACCCTCTTCTTCCTTGGACTTGCAGCAGCAGTGTCCTCATCAGCTGCAAGCAGTGATGAGTGTAAGGGCATTCAAGACTGCAACACCTGCGTCATGAACGGCTGTGGTTGGACGGGTGTGACCTGCTTTGACTCGTGCTCGTATGTGATGAGTGACAGGTGTTATAGCCATGCATCCTTTCCCCTGTTGCAATCCCAACAAATCTGCAGCATCCAAGCCGCCAAGAATCGTGACTGGGATCTCTGCCGGTCGCAGGGTTCGGACTGCCAGAGCTGTACTGCAACCAGCCTTTCGGCTTCTCCTCAAGACAGCTGCTATTGGCATCCAGTACTCCAAGACTGTACACCAGGAATAGTATCTGGTTGGTCCATTGGTACCGACACATGCTCGACAGAGCTCAGTAACAGTAATGCTGACTCCATCACTGCCAGCTCGACTGCTTCTTCTTCTTACTCCAGCAGCAGTGCCGGCACCGCTACATCTTCCAGCAGTACCACAATCTCTTCCGTCCCTACCAATATTGAAACGAGCACGAGCACGAGCTCCACAGAGACAGAGACACACAACAATATTCGCGGTTCGACATCATCATCCGCTACCAACAGCAACAGCAACAACAACAATGATAAGCAAAAGAGCCCCTCCTGGCTCAAGAAAGTGTTGCTGCCCTAATAACATTCAAAGCATCTGCATAACTTTTAAACAATAGAATAGAAGAAGTATGCCGATACCTCCAGTTTTTGTACCGTAGCTACGTAGGTAGCTTGCAATCGTTGCTCTCCACCCCAGAACCAAAGGGGGGACATGGGTTGGATCTTGGATCTTTTGAAGTGATGTTGAGTCGCAAGCCATCTGACGTCACCCTCGTCAATTTTCCCTTCCTGCCTCCACCAACCATCATCAGCAGCGTTGGATGGTCTTGGCTTCTTGGCTTTACTTTTGTGGATCCTTTTAGTAAAGTAAGTGTGGTATCAATCAAGTTAGTTAGTTGTATCTTCACAATAGTTATTTTCCATTATAGTAAATGTTGTTTCCAGCACTGAGTGGCCTCTTGGGTCCCTTGTTGGCCGTTTTATTGGTAGCAACGCATCCTGACACCTCCTCCATTCCGAGCATCAAGAAACACCACAAGACCCATCATCACGCTTTTTTGTCCTCTTCGTCATCATCCTCCTCCATAATTTGGATAGATTTGGAAAATGTCCGTGGTCGATCTGGCTTTCGATGGAGTCATCAAGATGTGCTGGACGCCACGGTCCAATGGACGCGCCATTGGAGTCTCGATGGACGCGTCGTCGTGGTGGCCGATCATGGCTCCGTCCGTGCGGCTTACTCTTATCAAGACATATTGGCGGTGGTCTTTAGTGGCAATCGCGCCAAAGCCGACGATGTTCTGGCCCATCACGTGGGTGCCGGGCACATGGTAGTGACGGCCGATACCGAACTCCAATCGCGGTGTCAACGAGGTGCCTCTCAAAGAAACAAGAAACAACAACAACCAGACAATTCTGATAGGAAGCTCAAGAGAGGACTCTATTTTCTGGATCCGACCACTTTTCTAGACGATTTGGAAGCCACTTTGTTGCAACAACAAGAAGATGCTCCCACAAGTAATGATACACCCGAACGGTTGTCGTTCTTGGAGGACGACCCAGAAGATCTGTCACTCCAACGACTCGATGACGAAATCCAATTACGAGCCATGATTTTGGACACCCAAGTGCAATTGGATTCTCGACGACGACAACAGAAAAAAAGAAACCTTACCAACAAGAAAAAGAAAAAACTACAATCCAAACTGGATGCCCTTCAAACCAAATTAGTAGTAGCCATCAAAAACAATAATGGCCACTCGGTCTTGGATCAAATAACCAACAACAATAATAGCAATGACAATACAGAAGAACAACAACTCATTCTCCAACGATGGAAGGATATCCAACGGACCCGAAAAGAGCAAACGGGAGATCGAGTGGTCCTGGCCGAACAGCTCCGACGCCAATTGGAAGCAGCAGAACAACAGGAGGACACTATTTTGGATTCTTGGCAGGAAAGCCCTGCACACGAGTTTATCCGACACTTTAATAGCCTGGAACCCACAACAACAACAACACAGCCATCCATCGTATCTTCCTCCAACGCAGTATTGAACAATCAACCTATTGATGTCACCACCAACAACAACAATGGCCAACATCCTCAGCCAACCACTCAGGAGATTCTAATGGATCCCACTCTCAATCCACTACCGGGTCTCAAGACGCTTAGGATTGTGGCTATTTCCGACACGCATGGATTTGAAGGGCAATTATTGACAGATCACGAGGAGGATTCATTATCATCGCAACAAGCGAAGGATGACGATTCAGCGAAACTCAATGGTGCCAGTAGTAGTGATATTCTACCTCCCGGAGACATTTTGTTTCATTTGGGAGACTTTGCGTTGGAAGCATCGGGGTCGGCGGAACGCAAAGCATTCCAACGATTTGATCAGTGGTTGGCGAAACAACCACATCCCATTAAAATTGTCGTACGAGGGAATCACGATCCTCCTCTGCAGCAGTTTGATCAATCCGGTGCCTGGTACATTACCACACCCACCAGTATCCCCCTCACACCCAATCTCATGCTCGGGGTCATTCCCCATGGTCCGTCGTCTACCAAACGCAACAAAAAACGACATCCACTTCCACAGTCGTGTGATATTTTGGCCACACACGTTCCACCTTTCAAGACATTGGATCGCACATTCACTGGCAGCGCCGCGGGGAGCAATTACTTGACGAGAATTGTCAAGAGTATGAAACATGGACCACCGCGATTGTGGTTGTGTGGACACATTCATGAAGGACGAGGAGTGGCCCAACGACAGTTTGGTGGAAGAGGCATGACCACTACCGTCGTCAATGCCGCCAATGCCAATCCCGGTCGTGCCACGCATCTGCAACATGAGGCGGTGGTGATTCAAGTTGAAAATGAAGATCGACTGTTGCAACGGAGTGAAGCCGTCCAGATTGTATCCATGGAACAACAACAACATGACGGTCGTTGCAAGGACGCTTCCTCCATGATGACACAGTTGTATGAAGCGACGCAAGGGGAAAGTGATCATGATATGGACACTACATCCTTGATGCTGGCCATTGATTTGGGGCTCAAATCAGGTGCGGCGCTCTTTAACAGCCAGGGCCAGTTACTTCGGTACGAACAGTTTCAATTTGACATTGAAGACATAGCCATGAGAACCAGGCAGCTCGTTCTGGATTGGGAACGAGATGCCAATGACGAAACTTTCATGGAGAATGTTGCCAACAACGGGAACGACAATAACAACGACCAACATTCGGGCAGCTCCAAGCGAAAGAGTCAATTGACACACATTGCCATTGAAGGAGTCAATGGGGACATGCTACGAGCTTGGGAAGAAGCTGCCCCTTCACTTTCCGTCCTCCGAGTACCACCCGAAGAATGGCGATCGGAACTGCTCCACAAGAAGGAACGCTGCAATGGCGGCCAAGATGCCAAGGCTGCGGCTCGATTGATTGCCCGGCAGATTGTCAACGACTACGGAATCATGGGGGTGCACGAGGGCAAATTCAAGACGGATGTGGCCGAAGCTGTTTGCCTGGGTTTGTATGTCAGCCGAAGACTCGGTTGGATCCAACGTGACCCCGCCGTACGACGGTACAGCAATGGAAATATCGTCGTTCCACCAAAGAAAAAGCCATGATGAGTTAACTGGGTGGTCACGATGATTTATGTGGATGTAACGATGGGATCACGAAACGCGCCGTAGCAATTGCGGTCGCGCCCATACACTGTGTAGTCACTATTGAGATGTGTGTCTCAGTGGACGACTGTATCCCCTGCCATTGTATCTCAGAAACCACACAACATTATGAGCATGCCGCTAGCTAGAATGAATCTACAAGATGTCAGGTAGGCATGGTCGACAATCTCTTCTGCTCTTTTACCGTGGCTATCAAACTTTGTTTTTGTTCTAAATGCATGGTTTTCTTCTTCTTGGACAACACTATACTCCAATGTTCCTTTGTTTAGTTCTAACGAAAGATTTTGAAGAAGACGTATGCTGACGCACTACCAGCATCCTGGTTCAAATCTCCATTGAGACCATCCAAGTATTCTGCACGTTGAGAAGTAGCAGGGTGGGTTTTGGATATTTCAATGTTTGTGATGGGATCACCATCTTCGGTTCTCTTGGTGTAGCACACGAAAATGTCTTTTGACCCACTTCCAGCACCCTGGTTCAAATCTCCATTGAGCGTCAAAGCTTGTCCGGCTCGACGATACCCAGAGGCGCAAGTGGCCCCCTTTTGGATTCGAATGTGAGTAATGGGAGGTCCAAAGATGGGGTTCTTACTGATGCAGGTGTAAATGTCTTTTGACCCACTACCAGCACCCTGGTTCAAGTCCCCATTGAGACCATCCCCGGCTGTTGCTCGGTACAAGCCCCAATCACAGGTGGCTGATTCGGAAAAGCCAAGGGCCGTGATGTACCGGTCGTCATTGTACTCGTACAAGTGCCTGTGGTTTTTGGTGGTGTATTCCTCATTCTGTTGTTGGGAATCGCCCTTGTTGTCGCTTTCAGACGACGTCTCTGCCTGTTCAGCTTTGGAGGCAGCGAATGAATCAAATCAAATCACATGCAGCACAAGAGGGAGAATGAACAGCACTAACTGATCAGCCCACCAACGAACGCAACGTGGGAAACAACCATGAAGCAACTGAAGGTCTGCTCCAACTAACCAACTAACTTACCACTGACACACAGCAAGGCCAAACCAAGCAAGAAGATCTTGGCGAAAAAAACAGATGAAAGCTTCATGACTTCTGGCTGCAGATGATGATGATGATGAAATTGTGAGATCAAGATCGTGAGAGAAACCACCGTTTGGGATCTACGGAATATCTTACCACCCTGAAGCAGTCATTATGTTTTCTCTTACAACTCGGGAACCATGATAAGATGTTACGCCGTGCTACGGAATATGTCGAACTCAGCAGTCATTCATGTCAAGGTCTATTCCTGGCAGCGTCTGCTTTCTTCGCGGGAGAGTAGATTCCTGGCAGCGTCTGCAGTTCTTGGCGGGAGAGTAACGAGGGCTTTTACATACAGAGTTGACGAGCTCATGTCGAGGTCTGTGCATACGGTATTCCTGGCAGCGTCTGCGATTCTTGGCGGCAGAGAAGCGAGGGTTTTTACGCCAGACCTTTAAGTCTTTTTCAAAATTGGGAGGTCATTGATAGGGCCGGTGACCGGTACCGTACCACGGTACGTACAATGGAGTGTACCGGTACGTACGCTCGTACTGACACCCGTACCGGTACAGGTCATCACGTTTCTGGACAACCATAATATTTGGCAGCGCGAAGGCCTCGCAGCCAGCAGCTGCGGACGATGGACACTTCCAGGATCGGGCACTCAGTCGATCACCAGTCTCTCTCTCACCTCTCACAAATTAGATCTGCGGAAACACAGAACTGAAGAAAATAAAAAAACAGCAAATACAGTATCTTTCTCTTCTGAAGATCAAGCACAACCTGCGACAACCACAACACACACCAATCTCATCTCTCGGAAGTACAGCAACAAACCAACTTGAGGAAACAGAGAAAGGCTTCAACGGAACAGAGTGACGCTTGCGACAAGTACAGCACACACGAATCTTATCTCATCTCACTGACGGAAGATAGATCAAAAGGCCAACCATGAAGGTTCTTCGATTTGCTCTTCTTTTGGCTCTTGGCGCTGTTGCGGCGTCCAGCGCCGATGCCCACATGCATGGTTCTCAAAATGAGGTACGTACTGTAACTTGCAGTGACTTGACCTTAATAGGAAGCCTTAAGGCAGGCACAGCTTACCATTTACTTGGTTGTTGCATTGTTTGCAAAAGGCTGTCACAGTCCAAGTCAACGAAAGTGGGGCGCTTACATCTCCGGAAACGCTCCACAAGGATCTAGAGGACCTCCAGAAACTTCTCGAGTCTTTCTCCCTGCAGCCCCAAGACAGCCAAGCAGCCGCCACGGCCAGCACGCAAGATGGCAAAACCAGCATTGTGCCCAAGCTTGTGGAACACTTTGGTGTCAAGGTCGAAAGCATCTGCGATGCTTTGTCTCGTTTGGAAGATTCCAATCAGATCCCACCTGAAATGGAAGCTCTTGTCACATACGTCAAGCAGCAGCTTTTGGAGGCGAATGAACAGTCCAAGCAGGTTGTGTCGTTGTTGTCCCAGCCTCGCATTGGTGCCCGAAACAACAGTGACGACGACAAGGCTGACGACAAGGAGTCCCTTGAGTTGTTGGCCCCACCCAAGTGGACTGGTTCGAGAGTATTGTTGGAGGAAGAAAAAGAAGAGATGGGTCACAACGGCGGTGCTGGCCACGATGGAAACCACCACCACCACAAGAGTAGTGACCGAGAGCACCTACACCAGCATTACGAAAAGCTCCGTCAACATCCCAAGATCAACAAGCATTTCAAAGCGGTACGTCCTTCTCTCAATTGCTGACATTAGCATTGCTGATTGCAGTTCCTACCGCACGGCAGTGCAAGCAAAACCTTTACTCACTTTTTAGTCACTTTTTGACACGACACAGCACGAGGCAATGATGACAGGGGACATGGACTTTGTCCACCGCGCAATGGACGATTTGAAGCGCCACACTGGTCGTTTCTCGGAGGCGGAGACTTTTAGTGACAAAGACGGCGACGAGAATCATAGGCGCTTGCTCGACTCTAACCAGAGGCAATGCAGACGACTTGTGGGATGTCTCGAGGAATGGACTCTCTACGACCTGTAAGTCACATTATTTATGTTGATTGATTGATTGATTCATTGATTGATTTCGGATGAATGAATGTTTCAATGGCAATTATAAATACAGCCTGAGCTCACCCCCTTTTCCCTCTCCGCAGAGTTCTCTTCTACTACGGGCCTTACGTAAGTGCTTGAACTCTAACTGTGGTCGATCGTGAGCAGTTGTTGCTCGTACGGTACTACTTTGAAACGCCTAGCAAGCAATGCAAAGTTGCAATTGGATAATAATCGTTTTCATCCCTTTTTGCGTCGTGTGCAGGTCAATGATAGGGGCGAAATTGATGACAAGGTGGACGTGAAAGATGCAGCTGGGCATGCTGGCCTTGAAAAACATATCAGCGTCATTCGACAGTACATTAAACGGGTCAAGAACAACAATTATCCGTCGGGTTACTGCCAAACTCTTCTGCGGCAGTTACACACGAACGAGAATAAGGAGCTCTTCTCAATTTACGTAAGCAAGCCAAAGAATGTTTGTCGAAAATGGATCGCCTTTTCCTCTCAACATCTTCTCTTTCATTCGGTTTTAGCATGGACCCCCTGTCACGAAGATCTGTCGCCACCAAGGAACGATCAAATACGTAAAATTGAACGAGGTAGGCCCGACGTGGGTGGTTGACTAACTGTGCGCATGACAAACCTCAGCATTGGGTCTCTCTTTGTGCACTTAGATAAGGGACAAGATCAGTCCTGCGATTGCCGATAATATCTTTGATGACTTGGTTCGCTGTTCTGGTAGTCTAGGCGACGAAACCTTTTTTAACGCTGCGGGACCCCGCGTTCCCATCAGTGTGCTTCCTGACGTACACGGAAAGACAAGGACCAATGACGGCGCTGATCATTACAAGTTCCAAGCATCTAGTACGTACTAAAGTTCTGCAGTTTGCTCAAGAGTTGGTCTGCTGTGACCCTCACTCACTTTTATCCGCCACAAACAGGTCCGATGGCTGGAGCTCACAATGGAGATCAGAGGATTGCCTACTGGCAGCTCGAAAAATATGCCCCCCAATGTGTCGAACGTGTCAACGGGTACTACAAGAGCCTCTTCAACGATTTCGATCCATTCATCTTCAAATCAGATGGTGCATCGGCACTGGATTATCCGCCAGTTCGAATCATGACGAGCCGAATAATGCGTCGAACCTACATTGGCGTGGGAGACGACGATGCCAAGCCTACGTACCTTTGTGAAACCGGTTCGGCTAGTTTCACGGTTTGCCCCAGCGACAATAAAGTTGGGGTAACGAGCAGCGTCTGGGCGAATTGCTACACTGGCTTAAAGAAGTATCAGGTAGAAGGCCTTTTCACCGGATTCAATGGCGAGATTCGTGACAATGCATCAACTCTGACTTTGGGTGAATCGGTATCTGTCGGCTTGGCTTGGTACGACGTGCACTGTTTTGCGTTTTGTCAGCAGCTGAGCCACTTCTAATATTTGTTCCCACTTTGACGACAGTGCTCATGCTGAAAAGGCCAGTAAGAACCCTGACAAACCTAAAACTGCCGGATGGTGTTGCTTGGATATACCTGCTGAGGGAAAATTCTTTGGCAAAGAATACAACTGTGCGTGGGCCTCTGACACCTGCCGCAAGAAAGCCCCGGTTCTTGCTGGATTCAGCAGTTCAGCATGTGATGCATGGAGCGGAACCTGGGTACGTATGATGTTTCAAAATGTTTTGTGAAGTCATTCTCTGGTGGGGCTCTCACCAATCCTGTGATCACTCCGTGCAGTGTCCGGTACGTATGGGTAGATGTGTTTCAGTAGTGGCTTCGGATGCAGTCAACGAGCTCAACATTCCTGTGATCACCTACTTAGTATCCTCGGGATTGCTCCGAACTTAAGACCTGCATTACCGGAGAGATTGCATGGGCAAAGAGGTCGAACAAGCACGCTTGTAAGTATTTGTAAAAGTGGAATTTGGTAAACAAAACACGCACTCCTGATCTCACACGAGTACGCATCTTGTTGCCAGACTTGGGGTACTTGAAAACTGCTCCAACAATTGAAGACACTAATGACAACGATATTTGTGGAGATGCACGGTAAGCTTGAATCAATAGAACTTGCTACGTATCTATATCCACCCAACCGGTCCACCATATTCATGCTCACCTCTCCAAAAATCGTTCTGCAGGGAGTATTTTGGCTTTACTAGGGATTAGTGAGTCACCTTGCCCAACCGCAGTCTTTTTTGTCATTATTCAGCCTACGTTTCCTCACATGTGATTGTCCAATCCTTTAGTCCACTCGACGACGAGATCTGTGAAGGTACGGCATGAGTTGAACACGGCATACCTGCTGACTTGCCCTGCCAAGGTTGCTAAAACTCGTGTCCGCCTCTTGTTGTGTCCAAAGACATACAGTTCTTGCGAAACAATCGCAACTTCCAGAACCTTGATGAAAACTATGGGTCGAGCTCTTCAGGCCCCGCAGGTGAACCACCGGAAGACCTGGAGTTGGTTGAGCCACAAGAACGTAAGCATATCACGGTTCTAACGGAACACTCAGTTTTGTGCTCGGCTCACATTAGTTGTTGCTTTTGAAAGCCGAGACATTGCCAGAGCAATTTGAACATATGCAGAAAGCAGTTGATGGAATGGGGATCACGATTTGGACCCTGGAGAGTGTAGAACGGATTTCCGGGTAGGTTGGCCCTGTTTTTAGCTTGATCATTGTCTCAGTAAAAGCCACCAGCTTACGTCTTTGTAACAGTCATTACGAGTGTCCCAGCGACATGCAAGGCATCTCTGCCAACATTTGCGCCAGTGTCAAAAATGTTCTCGTTGTCATTGCTGCCACGGCTGTGGCAAGTATGGGCCTTGTAAGTTTGATCTCAAGTGTCCTCTTACCCACAATGAGCATGTGTCTCAATTCCCTTGCTTTCAGATTTGTGACACTTTGGAACGCGAAATCCCAAGTATTGAGGATCACCAAATGATGGAGATTTACTACAACGTGGACGCAGTCTTTGGCAACATGGAGATTATGATGAAGGGAATCAATTTGGCTCGCACTGACATCTTCAACCTTGCAAACCCGTCAAGGCGCCTCAAAGCTGGTCACCAGGTCCTTGGGCGCTTTGAGGGGTGCGATGGCATTGATCAAGACAACAACGGTGAGATTGACGAGTGCGAAGAAGATATTTCGCCTCCGGAAATCGCTCTACCGACGGAGCTCGAGTATGCTGTGCAGTTTGATCGTCATGGAAGAGAGACATTGCACTACGCTCACAACGACCAGCCATTCAAGGGCGCTGATGAGGCCATGGACTATCTTCGGAACAATGTTGTCCGAGTTTCGGATGATTGTGCCGCGTCCAAAGACTTGGAATTGAACCTGACACTTTTGGATCACTCCTTGAACAGCTGTCACTCCACCATCCGAGCCGTGCCTGTTCACTGGTGCAAGGGAAACTCGACGTTGGGTCATCTCATGGATGTTGTGGTCCCCGTGGATCATGAAGCCCCTGATGTTGTATGTGGGTTTCGTGCAGCCTCTTTCAAGGCCCTATCCAGTGACAAGAAGACGCTGATCATCGAAGAAGAAGAAGACTATCCGATGAGACTCCAGGACATTGGACTGTACTTTGGTCTCGAGGTAAGAGTCGGACAATGCATGTGAACCTACTTTTGCGGACGAATGAATGCTTTCGTGGACCAACCTCTGCTTGCTTTCACCGTACCGTCGTACAACAGGAGGAGTGTTCGGATACGGTTCATGTGGATGTTTCCGTCAAGAGCAACGAGTACGCGGACGGCTTGATTGCCAAAGCGTTGGTCAGCGAGCTTAACGGAACCAAGATCCCAAAAATCTTTGTGTCGCCATCGTCTTGTGAAAGCCAAGAAGGGAGTTTCTGCGTGCATTCTCCGTTCACCAAGAAACGTTTCTACGAGATTAGCATTCGTGCTACGGACCAGGCCGGCTGGACAGGCGAGGATGTGTGTCGAGTTGTGGTCGTCCCCAAGGAGGAGGAGGAAGGAGAAAGTAATAAGGAACTCCGTGGCAGCAGCAGCAGCAATCTGCGCTCTTTGGTGTCCCAAGCGGAGGAGGAAACGATGTTTGACATCAAGACCACGGAACGATATGTGATCGACACAGTCCAGTTTGAATGGCAAAAAGTGTAATTCTATAGCTAGTCTGTTTGTGCTGCATTGCATACTGTGTGAATGGGCGGCACTCCAGTCTTGACGCAGATAAAAGCTAGTAAAGAAAAAGCTCACTTGCCACGTACCAAGACTAGCATGTCAACAAGAAGTGGTGTTGGAGTTTGGCCTGCTGGAGGCATTGTAGAATCATTCATCCATCATCCCCATTCCCATAGTTTGGCACTTCTGTGGCCCGAGACCCCCAATCGAGGTGTACGGAATTGTTGCAACGCCACATCTTTATGCCTTTCTTGGCCTGCCTGACCCTCAACACGTCTTTGTGTGTGTTCACAGGGTATCAAAAGCAAATGTTCTCGTTGTCATTGCTGCCGGTGGAGGCTGTAGCTAATATGGGATTTGTAAGTTTGGCCCCTCCAATCCATGAAACAACGAGATGTCGGTACGAAGGGTGCGTCATCCACGCAAAGGACACTGCGGCTTCCTCCATGATGAGGTGAAATTGATATGGACACTACCTCCTTGCCTCCTTGATGCTGGCCATTGATTTGGGGCTCAAACAAGTCAGGGTCAGTTACTTGGGTAGGAACGGTTTCAATTTGACATGGAAGCAATGAGCACCACTATAATGCTGGCAGCAACGCACGACAGATTATAGCCAGACTCATAAAGCTAGCTAGGTAGGCAAGCTTTGCATGCATGCAATGACATTCTGGGACACCTACAGGGCTATTGTCACCCCTGTCTACACTATGGCCGGAGCTAAAGAGAGAGATCAGCCGCAGCGGGGCCAGCAACAGCGAGGACACATTTGGCAATGTAGCGTCGTTACAATGTTACCAATACCGATGGGGCGTACACCGGGAAATTTATCGGGAGCCATGCCGCGATTGGCATTGAGAGCTCGGATGGCGGCCTACAGATGATGGTTTACTAGCTAGCTAGCTAGCTAGCTAGAGCTCACCACTCACACACAGCTTGGGTTAGCACAAAGCAATAGTAGCATTAACAGCTCTGTGATAGCCTTAAGCCCAAACCACATACAGTCGTAGTCCTCCTAGCTCCTAGC